TGTATATATTCTCCCAAAATGTGCCTCCTGAATGTCCTGAAAAGGTACACGTAACAGGTTCTTTAATTTTATCTCTGATTTAGAATGCCTGCCATCTTCCTGATGTGCCTGCTTTTTGGTCTTGCGTGCGGGCAAGCAATGTCTTTTTGTACTCCGACTGACTATACAATGCACATCGATAGGCGAGAGTGTGCTTACTGCCTGACCATCAACACCACCATCTGTGCTGGGTATTGCATGACACGGGTATGTAGTTTGTCACCCTTCTTTTAGCTATGAATTATATAAACCTAGAATCAGTCCATTCCTGTTTGAAAAAGAAATGAGGTAAATCACATCTCTACTTTCTGAATCCAATGATGACTAGCTCCCTAAAAGCATTAAGTTTATGCAGCTCCCCAAGTAAGAACATGTAGTATTATATGGATCTACTCAGCAAAATGGGTACAGATAAATTTATAAAAATTTTACCTACCAGGTTTAATTTAAACCTTATCTCATTTCCATGATAAAGGGTAAGAGAAGAGGGTATTACTTTGTCTCTGTAGGATTTAATCGATATATGTTAAATTAGTACTGGAGACTAAAACGAAGACTAAGGAATCTTCTGGTTGTATTTGCAACGAATAAGTGCATATGTTTCCTTTATTTATGTTCTCTAACATCTTATCATATTAGCTCCAATTTCTACTCTTTTCTCAGGATATCAATGGAAAACTGTTTCTTCCCAAATATGCTCTCTCCCAAGATGTTTGTACGTACAGAGGCTTCATCTACAAGACTGTGGAAATACCGGGATGCCCACACCACATTGCTCCTTATTTCTCCTACCCTGTTGCTGTAAGCTGCAAATGTGGCAAGTGTAATACTGACTATAGCGATTGTATACATGAGGCCACCAAGACAAACTACTGCACCAAACCCCAGAAGTCCTATCTGGTGGGAATTTCTGTCTAATTAAAAAAAAAGAAAAAGATACAATTTGCAGCATGGTTCAATGTGTTTATCTGGAATAAAGTAATAAAACATCATGTTTCACACACCGTGTATACATTTTGAGTACTATTTCATCCATATGAATACCCACGCAAGTATCAGAGAGTATAGGGCTTCAGAGGAACAGGGAGTGAAAGATCCTTTCATATGAGAAAGCAAAGTGGAAGGGAGATGGAAACAGACACAGAGTGCTGTGAAAGTCAGCCGTGAGAAACTTACAGAATTCGAAAAGTAATGCGATCGGAAGCCGAAGGAACATAGGGCATTTGGGTGCTAGGGAAGTTTTCCAAAGGCCGGAAGCCGGCCTGGAGTGGAGGTGGAGAGGAAACAACACGTGAAACCTGCCATGTTTAATACTTTAACCTAATCACTCAGCCATACCGGCTAAAACTCCCAAACTCAGTAAAGAGTATGTAAACTATTCTCCTTAATTTAATTACTCTGGTGGGCCAACTGCCTTATGAAAGTTATATCCCCAAAGGTCAATTTACAAAGCCTAGAAAAGAGGCCGCGATCATTTTACACGTGGAAATCTAAATCCTTCATAGTCCTTCCGTAATAGGAGACACTCTCCAGCATTTGCACCAGAAGCAACTTTGGACAGCGTGAAAAGCTAGCACAATTATGAGAGGTTTTAGGAAAAGGGAGAGTGCTAGGGGACTTAATGGAGAAGAATCCTCAGTTCCAATGTAAACCTTCATTAACAGTTAAACATTGTTTTCTGGCGGATATGCTTGGCAAGACGCTATTTTTCTTTTCCTTCTTTATACATATGGAGAGTTTAGCTTCAACAGATATTTAAAGTGAGACATTTGTAATGCCCTTCAGGCTTGACCTAAAAAAGATTATTTATCTTTTACTTAGCCTTTATTCCTTAACCACAATGCCATCATGAAAATGAAAACCAACTGTCAGCAAGGCTTCTGGCTTTACTACATCTCACAGCCAATGGTTAAATTCAGCTGGGCATCTTGGAAAGGCATGGATACTGACAGTGCCCATGGCAGAGAGGTGCTACAGATAAATTAGTTTCAAAGTATCAAAACATGTTTTGCCAATGTTAGGAAATGGTGCATTTACATACAAAAGTGTCAGGAATGTACAGTACTTATTTTTACCTTAGTATCTGAACAGATAGTTGCATGATTTTTAAATAGTCATCTGGGACTTCGGGTTTTCATGCTGATTGATATTATGAACACTTAATGCTGCCTATTGCTTAAAGCTGTTAATCAAATATAGATCTTTAATAAGTGAAAGATCTAATTTTCCAACCTATCTAGCACCGACTCATTATTTAGAGAAAATATTTTCAATGACATGAACTATGTAAAGGCCAAGGGGTTTTTGGAGGCCCCTTATAAACAGTCTAGTGTAAAGATATTTAAATTCTGTTTATTTAATTATTCCTAATTCAGGAAAGAGGCCAGGCCTGGACACAGTGGTGGTGGGGTCTTTACTATCACGAGCCATGTAACCCTAGAGTGGGCTTGTGATAGACTTGCTTCCTCCTGCTAACAGCAATTCATTAGGATTAGATGCATACATGAATTATAACAAAGCTTTCATAGTAAACTATTCTTGAAGGTGGAATTTTCCAGGCTAAAAAATTATGGCAGAGCTCAGGAGTTAGGGTGGCCAACAATTCACCTCCAGTAGATCCAAAACTTGGGGATATGGAAATACTGTTTTGGAGGGGCTTGGTGGTGTCCTTTGGACTTCAGAAGACCAGATAGAGTTTAGAAATGGAAAGATGAAGAATCACTGGTGGCATAATAGCAGGAATATGGAATCTACGATATTTTCTGAGATTATGTTTAAATTCAATCCAAAGTTTAAAGCCATCAGTTCTTGGCAGAAGAAGTTTGAAACTCATTGCTTTAAAACAAGTCTCACCTCTTCTCCATCTTTGTTATGTTCTGAAATACAGAAAGTTCTTTCATAACTGGATGGTTTTAGGAGCAGTGCACCAGCAATCTCTGTTTTTCTAGTGTTCAAACTCTTTCACAGTAAGTGAATGTACTAGGATGCATATATTGGCAGATGACAGCATGATGCTTCCTGGTAGCAGGAAATTCTAGTAATAGAAACTCTCCTACTTATACAATAAACTGCTCTTTAAGAGCAGCAAGTTTAAGTGTAATAAAAATCCTTTTATCAAAGCTACTCCCACTCTATCCCTATTGTTCAATATTGGGATTTTTCTCGACCTTCTTATTACTTGTAGTTAATTCTTTTTCTTTTAGGCAATCCTGTCTCACTTTCTCTACTTCTGCTAAGCACCTTCCACCTTCTGTCTCTGAGTGTCCACATCCTTTCTGATAGCTACACCTTGATTTTCCTTTGGGGTTCTCTGTACCCTTTCTTTCAGTTCAAGTGGCTTAGTGGGGCTGGTAGAGGTAGGCAGGCTATTCAGGCCCAGTCAAGCTTTACTGGTTAAGAAACGGGCGTGTGACCCTCTCCCCTCCGGTACAGGTGGGACCCAGGACATTGTGACTATTGAAGAAAGAATGTTTGATTGGTTGGGATTCTTAAGCTGATAGTACGTGAGCCTGGAGCCACTGCTCGCCATTTCTGGCATTTCCTGGAAACAGGCCCTTCCTTGTGAGAATAAAGCCACACCAGAAAAGTCAGAGGTGAGCAAGAGAAACTGCAAAGAGACAGACTTATTGATATCACTTGAGTGTAATCTGAAGCCAGCTTCATCCTTGAACTTTCTTTTTCTGCCTAACTCATTAGAGTGGGGCTTCTGACAGGTGCACCTGAAAAATCATGAGTGATTCAGCATCTTTTCCCAGTAGTGTCAGATGTTCTTGATTCCGTCTCATCATCCCCATCAACACGTTGCTGTTTCCTCTTGTATCACTTTTCCTACTATCTTCTCTTTAGAATGAAGTATCCTTTAATCACTTTTCATTAAAAAAAAAAAAAAGGCAAAAGCAAGCAAATAACTTTCTTGACCCAGTGCAGTGCAGACTTCTAATTATTTGCTTTCTTACACCTTGAGTGCTGATTTCAGGTTGTTTTTTTGTTTTGTTTTGTTTTTGTTTTTGGTACTGGAGATGGAACTTGGGATCTTGCACTTGCGAGGCCGGTGGCCGAACCACTGAGCTAAATCCCCGGCCTATTCCAGGTTTTTGTGAATAAATACACTATACTAATTATCTGCATTTTTCACGTCTCAATCTCTTTTCAGTCTACTACAACTTGGTTTCCACTCCCATCTGTTTCAAAACTGTTTAGTAAGGGCAAAGTGACGGCTTGTGATCTAGTACATAGATCACCTTTTAGTTTTGTTTGCTCTGACCTCTGTGTTTCCCAAAGGGCCAGTGGAAGTCACCTATCTGTATTCACCATGTAATCTAGCTATAGTACTTATAATTAATCCTAATGAGGACAAAATCCACCTTTTCTCAGTTTTTAATGCCTTTCTTCCCCACTCATCTCTAGAGTGACTCAAATTCCTCTTTGTGGTCTTTTATCTGGCAAGAAAGATGTAAGTTTGGACTGTATGTTTTTGGGTAATTTTGCTGGATGCTTTAAGAGGTAAAAATTCTAAGTTTTGTGAAAGAGGGATTAGAACTATATGATAATCTTATGTGTCTTATCGACATACACAGTGCTGTTAAAAGTAGAACCGATTAGAAACTTGGGTTTGTATTAATTCAGGCTTGAATGTCCTAAATAATTATACCCACTACAGTAATCTGAAACTGGCTTTGCCCTTAAAGGACCAATAACTTTCCTTTTCTGCTTAGTCGTAGTTGTGTTTAGATGTTAGATGGCAGCTACTGAAGAACACAGGCAACCAAGAGACTTTCCATCCTGAGGATAAGAAATGGGTAGGGATTAAAGGATTGTTGTGCACTTTTAACTTACTAGAATAGAGCATTTGAATTTTTTAAACTTTATCTTCTCACTGGGGATTTAATTACGAGGGGTGGCTCGTCTTGTTCTCCTTACCTGAGAATCAACGCGGTAATCACAACAGGAGCTAATATCACTAGTGGCCAGGTGTACTGTACACTTTGTATTGGTTACAGTGGTACCTGGGTCCACGAACCCTTCTGTTTGTGAACAGTTCATTTACAACCAGAAGCATTTGGCCATATTTTGCTTTTGTTTGGGAACTCAGCATCAAGTGGTGAACACAGACATGACCGTCTTTTCCAGAATTGTGGAATTGAGGCACCACTGGATTTCTTTTAATTTAAGTTTCTGCTACTTAATGTAAGTAGGAACATTATATAGGGGAAAACTAAAACAAACGCCAAAGTTTTGAAAGGTTTCTGGCACATTAGCTAAACACCATAAAGTCGGCATAGGATATACTTTGCAATGTATCTACTCTTCATGCTCCCCCTTTGCAGGGGTTAGGTGTCCGAATAGTGGAACCTGTATGCATTTAGCCTTTACTGTTTTAATAATACCCAAAATTAATAACACTCTTTTCTCGTGCAGTCTTTTCACCTTTAACATTACAACGATATAATCTTTTACATGTAAAGATTTTCTAGTAAAAAATGAAGACGGATGTTGAAAGAAAACAGAAAACTTTTGTTCCTCTTAAAAATACACATTAACGCATATTTGATTTTGATGAACCCAAGCTGAAGAAGTGCAGCTAATCTACTAGCTTTAGAGTCCCATGAGTTCTCCCTCTTAATGAGTGCACAAAATGGGGTTGATAACTGATGGCCCAGTGATTGCCCTTACATCATGGACACTACCTTTCACCTGTGACGGTGGTGGCTTTTCTTTTTAATTTTTTTTTTCAGGACTGGGGATCAAACTCAGGACCTTGAAATTGCAAGGCAGGCATGTTGCCACTGAGCTAAATCCCCAGCCCCTCTTTTTTTTGTTTTGTTTTTTTGAGACAGGGTCTATGTAGTTGAGGCTGACCTGGAACTCACTATGTAGCCCAGGCTGGTCTCAAACTCACAGTGATCCTCCTGCCTCAGCCTCCCGAGTGCTGGGATTATAGTTGTGTACCACGCCCGGCTCCCAGACCCTCTTTTTCTTTTTCTTTTTTTTCCAGCTTTTATTGAGTTTATTGGTACATTTTAGGGATACAGTACAGTTACATTCATTGATAACTTTTATCAGTTCTTCTGATTATAATTAGTTATCTTTAATTTTTAATTTGAATTCTTTTTTTTTGGTACTGGGGATCGAACTCAGGTCCTTGTGCTTGCAAGGCAGGCGGTGGAACCACTGAGCCAAATCCCCGGCCCTCAGACCCTCTTTTTAATCTCTGATAAACTTATTTCAGAAGAGAAAAATGCTCTTTCCTCATTACCATCTTGCTACCCGCCTCCTTCTCACCTATCTGCACTATTCACAGGGAAAGGAGAGCAACTATTGCTGCTGATTGCTTGGAGGACACAACACACCAGACCCTTGACCAATTTTTTGTTCTGTTTTGTTTCTTTTTTAGTACTTAGAATTGAGCTCAGGGCCTCATGCATGCCATGCAGGTCCTGAGCCACTGAGCTACATCCCCTGCCCACCCCATGACCAATTGTACAGATTAAGCCATGGATAGCAAAGGAGTTATTTTGGGTGACACATATTAATTGAAATACAACTAGATACAATGAAAGTCCTTAGGGTATTGCTTTTGAGTCCAGTTCCCAATAATACTATAGAAGGGTTAACAGTCTTTCATATTTTATAATATTGCTTGGGTTCACTGGTAGTTGGACATTTAAATAAGTAGTGTGAAGGTCTGTAGAAAAATAGAATTTTAAGATAACTCAAATGAACAATTCCAGTATACAGAACATTTAATTTGAAATAATTTAAAATATTCCATCATTAAGATATTTAAACCATGCCTTGGTACCTACAGCTTAAGAAAGTGTATAAGTTTGATCACAAATTAGTATAAGTAGACAGAAATAACTTTATGTGAACATGTATTCAAATTATATATGTATATATACTCAAGATGTATATGAATTTAATGCATATAGGGATTATATGTAGTGCTATATATTCATACACAGATATATATATGTAAATATATTATATATAAATATCTATATCTGCATATTTATACAAAACTATCTGTGTGGTGAATATGTGTATAAAACCTACCTTCACTTAGTGGTAGAATTCTCTAATTTTATATATGGGACATATTTTGGAAAACTTTGCCGTAAAGAGACACATTAATCATATAGTAAACAGATCTCATCTCTTTTTAAAAAATTAAAAAAACATTAAAAATTATTTTATTTCTACTCTTCTGCTTTTAACTACCTTAATCGTTAAGGCCATTAACTTGGATAGGGACTGCAACTCACTTTTGTGGAACTGAAGATAATTCTGAGCTAGAAGAACCTGAGTTTATACTTGAACCCTTTTGCTATCTTGAGGAAAAAAGATGACCTAAAGCTACTAAGAGAAAAGGGCTGTTCTTTGCTTAAAAAGTTATATTGGTCAACTACTGGGGCATAAACATCTATTTCATGAAGTGATGTTTTTATCTATAGACACAGCCACGCATAACTAAGTTTGTAGATGACTTCCCATCTTTTTTCCCCCTAGAAAATTGCCTCCAAAGTTAGTAGTAGTAGCAAGTATGGCCAAAAGAGAAATATGATGTTATGTGGGGATAAAACTACTTCAAACATTTATGTCTGTTAAGCAAAATGTTGTGCAAGTTTCTTGGGAATGTGGCACTTTCTCTGACTGCACGCTCAAAGCCTTGTATTCTTTCTTCTATAGAAACCTTGTCACTTGGAAATTTCCAAAGACTTACATTTCCATTTTCATGTCATCTTTTAAAATGCAATTTAAAAACATCCATGATTTATTAAAAGTTACCAGTTGTGAAATGTTACTGACAAATGTGCCAATTTAGGTCTTAAGTTTGGGTTACCTACTTATAATCAAGAATTAAGACCAAAAAAAAAAGACTGGAACATTTTACTTTCACAGGGGATTTGCACAGAAAAATGTACCTGTTTTATATCTGTGTGTATTTATGTATGTATTTCTTTAACTTGTGTCTGTTGTGTGTACTATATACACCTGGAGAAGATATTTCTTTGTTCATTGTAGTTTATCAAGGATGCTCATAAAATCTGAATTATGCAGGACTTGTATTTATTTTAAGTGGCAAAAATTGTAGTTCTAAATCTATGAAAAAGAATTCTCTGAGTTAATAAATAAGAAAACTACAAAATTTAGGAAAGTATTGTAAACTCAAGTTATGAGGTATTTCAAAAATACAATGCCAGTAAAAATTCTCTTTTCCACAATTTGCAACTGCCAAATTGCTTTAGATTTTTGGCTTTTGTTTTTGTGTCCTTATTTTTGGAGAAACATGGAAGAGTTTGAGATAAAAGCCCTTGTAAGAATGTGAGGGTTGTAGTAGTTGGAAAAGCAGAGTCAGAGAAGGAAAGAAATAAAGCAATACTTACATGTCTTTGTATGAGAATAAAAATATTTCCTTAAAAGTGCTTAAAAACTTTTTTAGTTCTAAAAGTCACTCACTTTTATAGAATACATGATTGTCTATGTGACTGTTCTTTCCAGAGGGAGGGGTTTTTGTTGTTGTTTGTTTTGTTTTTAAATAAGAGGAAAGCATGACTTATTCAAATTAGATTTCCATGCTGGATTTAGTTTTATAGATGTGTTTAGTTCTAAAACCGTGATTTTTTTGTATTCTTGGGAGAAAATATATA